AAGCTTCATGGACTGTCAGCTACCAACCTTCCCACCAGTCATAATGCTGGTTCCCCACTAGAGAAAACTTTTTTTACTTAACCCTGTACTTCTTTCCCTGATTTTCCCCAAGTCTCAAAGGACTACGGAGTAAGTCTTGTGCTGTGTGAAATAATTTTGTGGCTGCTTTATGGATTGTGGTACAATACAGAAAATTAAGTTCATGTTATTACAACATTTGACATTAATTCTCCTAGGGAATCATTTGTATATGTTTAAACCTTCTATTTACATGGAAATGTCCATCTTCTGATATTTTCTTCTTTACCCTTTTGGCAGCATCTTTTGATTTGAATGAAACCAAATACAACCTACCTATTATTGCTGAATTCAAGTGACTACTGAAAAGAAGAAAAACTGGAATGTAACAAGGTGGGGAGGGAAATTTACCTTTCCAAAGGTAACATGTTGCAAGTGCTAAAAAGAGCATCATCTTCACATCAAATCAAGCAAGGTACAGGATTCAAGAAACAACGTGCCAAGAGGCAATTTATCAGCAAGATGTTAGCATCAGAACACAAAGTGATGTGTCTGGAAGCAGAACTGCTGAGCTGCAAACAACCTGGGTGTGAGTCAGAGAATATTAGGACAGTGCCTGTCCACCAGGAATATGGACTTGATTGCATGTGACTTGTGTCAACTCTGGAGACATCAAGAGCAGAACATAAAAGCAAGGCCACAGAGATATTTCTAAATGAGCCATTCAGCCTCTAAGGCAATGAATCTGGCAACAACTCAAGTTCCAAGAGAAAAAGTCAACATTCCAGGTTTGTGTTCCATGGTTATAGACTTCATTCATTTTTTCAGGAAAAAGGTCACTGAAACATCGCATTTTCAATCATTAAAAGACACAATCATCTCCTTTTAAACTAGCCCATAACTTTGAAACCACAATCCAATTGCCTGTTCAGGCTCATTAGTGTCTTTGGATCCTAATGACCCACTCAGTTGCAGTAAATGAAAAACTAATCCTTGTTTTATGCCATTGGCTGAAAAGGATTAGCCAACTCTTGCTACCCATGCAATCAGCCTTGCACTGGGGAGATTACTGCTATCTAATACTGTAAGTCTACACATTCCAATCTGTTACAATAAGTAGCACTTAAAGCTTATTTCCTTGAAATGCTTGAGCGTGTTAATGATATAGTGTAAGATTGTTTTCTTATGATGCAATGATTCTTCTACCCCTGCCTCTAAAGTCTGCATTTACCAACATATATGCAGTGATACCCCTTTAGTTCCAACATTAAGTTTTAATTACATTCCTAGTCTTGAAATGAAAAATTGAATAGAATTTTTTTCTTTGTATAGGGTTCAAACTGGGCAGGCGTCATGTACAGAATTTCAACAGGGTTCAGTGCAGTAATTTTCTTGAATTATGTGGAAAGACTGCAACTCAGGCTGTAAACAATTCCAGTGGAAACCAGGGTTTTAATTAATTATTTGATATTTAAAGATCCAGGTGATATTTTTTGCACTATACTATTAATTTAACAAACAGCTAGAAATAGAACATTTAATGTTCTCTAATCGACACTACAGCCTGTTACTCAGTTTTGTACCACTTGTACCACTGCAACTTTTACAACCCAGAATTCTGGTTGCTTTTGCTATATTACACATAAAATGAGTAACCAATTATATGAGAGGAATCTACAGTGTGATTCCATATACTTTATTTTCCCCCCCTCAAAGTATTCACACAATGTTGTAATTGAAAGTTTAATATGGTAAAAAACCAATTTTAACACTATCACATGCTCCATTCATACTTGAACACTGAACAATTTCTCTGACATAATATTAAGGAACTCTCATGTTTTTATCACCTTAAGCATTATATATAACAACACAATTAAATTTGTCCTAAATTATGTTATGCTGTGCATATCTGCTTTATATTGATAGACTTAGACTGAAGTTACAGAAAATGAATAAAGTACTCTTAACTGGAAACCTGATTTTTGAGTGGGAACAGTTTGATGAATGTCTAATTTTCTATGACAGGCAGTGTGTGAAGCCATAAAACAGCATTACATTAAAATAAATGCTATATCCCACAACTGCTGGAAGTCATTCCATTACTCTTTACCTCCTAGTTTCTAGATTAATTTTTTAGAATCAAACCTGTCCAGCCGTGGTTATTTGTTAGCCAAATATCCTGGACAGTTTAAAGCATGCTTTATATTTATGCATCAGTAAAATTAACAGTAAAATAGTAGATGGGGCTCCAGTCAAAGTGTTATATCACCTTACAAATTATAATGAATTTTTTTCACTGGAAGACCATTTTTCACAACAAGGCAAATGTGGAGAAATGCTCTTGGTGTTATTTCTGATCAGAAAAATGACATCTCCATATAGGTATTATTTCTGTGGGAGAAAGAAAACTGAGGCATCAGCTTCCTCCTGGCAGCAGCAGGTAAGAGTGTAGATTTTGTTCTTTGCTGTTAAAAGATTGTACTCAGCAAATTCAAAAACTGATTTATTCAAATATCATAATATTTCCTACCATTTTGGTGATGACGTATTTAACCAGCACTGACCTAATGTACTGGGTTGTACATTAGCGTTTATAAGGAATTTTCAAGATAAATATTTTTCTGTCAAAAACATCATTAAAACCCTAAATGGAAGATACCAGAGCCCTAAATAAACATTTGCCTTCTGTTAGGGTACTCATATAAGATTCAAAGTCAAATCCCTGCCCTGCTTATTTAAGAGAGGGTTTTTTATTGTTATTACCTTAGGGCTCAGTTGTGAACCTGAACTCTATTTTACTAGGTGCAGTACAAGGACAGAACAAAAAGGCAACCCCCACCTCCAAGGACTCACAGTAGAAGTACACACTATAGCCACATTACCACTTTGCAGACAGCTGCACTGCTTTTAAGAGATTACAACTCCCAGCTGCCATTGCTATCCTGCTGCTGGAGGTTACTGATGTCTAGTTAAGTTGTAGCCATGTATGAAATACCTGTTCCTCATCTACTGGAGTCCAGAGTCAGCTAAGTTAGCTTTCCACACTTTCAGCAGTGATATAAATTAAACTTACGGACTCCGCATTCAGGAATGAGGAACTAGTGCACAGTCCATTTGCTGGATCTGCACCATGGGGGTGATAACTGGAAATAACAAGTGGTAATGAGCAAATAGCACTTGGCTCTCCGACGGCCTCTGCTACATTGACAAGGGGATCTCTGTCTACACTTTCAGACCAGAGATGGATGTACTCAGATGTGTTCCTAAAGCACAAAACCAAATGACATTGGTCAGTGATGTACATGCTAGTCTCAGCAATCCAGCAACATGACTGCTGTTGATTTTATAGACATAATAACTAGGGGTCACTTTTAGGCAGAATTTGAGAGATACCGATGAAAAAGCTCAATGCATGTTTAGAAGCAGTTCATTGCCTTAAATGTCAGAAAAGTGACATATCCCAAATACTGAGTGGTTGCCTTTTCTGAAGTAGCTTTCTCTTTTATGTCATTAATCAGCTGATCCAATTTCTGCGAGCAAACATCCAGCAAGACCCAGAACTGTGGTTTCTGCCACTTCAGCCAGCAGCCTGGACTACTGGACTGTAACATCAGAGACATGGACAACAGAATTCATCAAATTCATCAGAAGATAGGAAAGCAAGCTTTAGTTATGGAATAACTGAGCAAACAAAAATGTACTTTCCAGCTTTCTAAATTATCTCAGAAGAATATCTGCCAGTAGCATACCCTAAGACACTACTCCAAATAACATAGAGACTCTCAAACTTGCCTCTAGCTTATGTTTTTCAGATTGTGAGGTATGCAGTAGATTAGAAAAGCTGTTTAAAATAGATAAACATGGAAACCTACATTTGGAGAGCATAAAGTCCACCAAATCCATATGTCTCACTTCTTATTAGCTGGGTCTCAGCAACACTTCACTTAAGCTTCCTGAATCCTCCAGCATCCTTAAAAAATACCCAACTTTCACCAGTCTCTGGGCTCAAGTACTTAAGGAGAAACTGGGCTGCACAAAAATGGTCCTAAGGCATTAGGAGTGTGGAAGAAAAGAAGTAGTGGCATAGATGATCAAGCTTTTGGTCATTTAGGGCTCTGCAGGTCAGCTGAGGAAAGGGGACTTTACTCCCCTTTGAACTTTGTTGACATTTTATTGGCAGAGTGTGCAGACTACACTGCTAGGATGCTTTTTGTCAATTTGTTCCGCTCGGTCCGTGTGCCCTTCTGACTAGCTTGTGCATTTGCAATGTGTTCTGTGAAGTCTGCTGAATGATGTAGTCTCCTCTTTATTTGCTTTGCTTCCATTTCAGCATTTTTCTTGCCTGCTGTCAGGCAGGCTGTTTACTTCATAGTAAATGTCTGAGAAACCCAATTTCCCTTAAAAATTCATAAGGAGTTTCAAAAATTAGTAATCTATGTTTCACATGTAACAGGGGGAAAAAAGTAACTCAAAAATGATCTGGTATTTCCAGCCAGCCATTCCATAGGGAAATTCATGGAGAACTGGTGAATATACTTGTACTGACCACAGCTAGACTTTGGGAACTGTCTGGTTTTGTATCTTTTTTTTGGAAGGTATCAGATAAAGAGGAAGGAACTCACTTTCAGTGTTTCAAGTTAGAAAGACAAAAGTTGAAATGGTATTACAACTGCAACATTACTTTAGCTATTAAGAAATACCCACAAAACTTTACATAAAATTAACAAAAATGTTTATTTAAAAAATTTCAGAAAAGTTCTGTATATAACAGCTAATATAAGAACATTGTCTTTAACTCAAATTCAGCTTTTACAGCTACAATAAACAGTTACTCTTACTAACACTTTCTATACAAGTTATTTAGTTTATATCAGAGGCTGAAAGTACTCATCTAGGAGTTTATATGCTCTCTCACAGACATTGAATTAACTTGACACACTACTGTAAAATGATATTTCTGCTGCTTGTAACTGCCAATTTAGCGAGAGCGTATCATAATTTTTTACGAAAACAACATATTTAGAAAATAAATAAGAAAAATAAAAGCTACATCTCAAAGCATGTGTGCTTGATGAACATGCACATTCTCTTGCAGCAATTGCAATAATGTATTCTTACATGAAATGAAAGGAGAAGATAAAATGCTTTGTACTTTAACTTAAGAAACTGAAAACATTTGTCAAGGCTAAGTAGGAAAAGAATTTAAGAGGAAGTCAAAGGTATTCAAAAGAATGTAAATGGCTTTGTATTTTGTAAGGAAGAATGAAAACCTTTCACAGAAGGAGACTGTGATGATCTCTGATCCTGTCCAAATGCAAATGGAAAACTAAAGTCATCTTTTCCATCTCCAAATGCATGAGAAGTCGATTCCGAGGGGAAGGGAAAGGCAAATGCTTCCTCACCTTCTGATTTCCCAAACAAGCTTCCTATATAGAATACAGATTCTATTTATTATTAGATTAAATTTTACTGAAATAATGATGCATTCAGCATAATATGTTTCTTTAATAATACAGCACTCTCAACATCCTGCTGAGTATCAGCCAACATTCGTGTATTTATTTCTGCACTAGAAATGGTACTTCAAGGAGGGCATTATTAAAATCTACATGGAATGAAATCTGAAGTACTTGAATGATTTAGAACAACAAAACACTTCTGCATAATATACTGGGTGAAATATTTTGAATACTAAGCCACAGAGGTCTTTGTAAACCAATATCAGGAAAACTAAAGCCCTGATAGAATTAAATCTGGCCAGGGATATCAAGGGCAACAAGAAAAGCTTCTATAGGTACGTCAGTGATAAAAGGAAAACTACGGAAAATGTGGCCTCTCTCCAGAAGGAAACAGGAGACGAGGTTGTCGTGTTCTTCTAAATCATTCAAGTACCCTCTAAATTGGAGAGACATGGATTTGATGGATGGACCACTCAGTGGATAAGGAATTGGCTGGATGGTCGCACTCAAAGAGTTGCGGTCAATGGCTCGATATCCAAGTGGAGACCAGTGATGTCTGGCATTCCTCAGGGGTCGGTATTGGGACCGGCGCTGTTTAACGTCCTTATCAGTGACATGGACAGTGGGATGGAGTGCACCCTCAGCAAGTTTGCCAACGACACCAAGCTGTGTGGTGTGGTCAGTATACTGGAGGGAAGGGAGTCTTTAACCCAATAGAAACTTTATTTTCCTTTTAGTTGAGGGAGGAAAAAACCCAACAGATGTACTCTTTCCAACACTAAGCTGGTAGCCTTAGGTTAAAAAGTAGTATTTACCAAATGCTATAGTTTTTTACGCTACAAGAACTGATCTTTTTATCAATGAAAAAGCTTTGACACTTAAATTTTTCTTCGCCATTGCAGCTCCACTCAATTTCATTCAAACCCACAAACACTATCCCTATTTCTTTCTTATACCTCTTTTTTATGACATCTTATACATTTGAAGTCAAAAACGGAAGGGAAGGTTTAAGATAGCCAAAACACAAATGAACAGAATAAACCACTGAACTACAATATCACAACTGAACATCCTTTTGGACAACCAAAGGTGCCCTGTTAAGCAGGATCATGAGCTTGTCAGTCATAGAAGCACAAGTCATAGAAGCACAAGAATAACAAGATGTTATACACAAGCACATCCGAGTTTCACACTTACCAATATCTTTGTGTGGGGACAGAGTGTTCATGTTTCCTACAGAATAACTTTCATCTGTCTGAAATGTAAACAGTCATTTTATGTAAAAAATGAGAAAGAGAAAAGATGAGCTCTAATGCTGATACATAATTAGTTCACTTGCTTTTGGTGAGAAAGACACTATCCCAGTGAATGTTAGCAGCTTTCACAAAATCTGCATTTAAATCTATGTATCAGTCCCTAAAGTTGCAAGGTAAACTCTTTGACGAGATAGGTTTCATGATATTTGCTTACATCTGCAAATACACTGCCTCCTTTCTTCGGGGAAAAAACATCAGATTTAGAACAGACCAAAATCTGATCTAACTTCCTGCTGTTTTTTAAACTGAAAAGATTCAAAATTATTTCATTCTGTGACGATTTAGAAAACCTCCAAGCTACAACATAATTACTGCCTACTGAGTTGAACCTGATATTGCCAGAAGGAGTAGCAGAATAACCACTTGTCACTCTTGAGAAGAGTTCTTAGGCTAGATTTATAATAGATACTTAAGTCCAAATTAAGACCTTCAAAACTCCCATCTAACTTCACAGAATCCCACATGGCTCCTAGAGGCTGGTAAATTCTTGGTTTCTGCCACTCAGCAGGCACAAAATAACATAGGTTCTAACAGCACTAGGTACCTTAATACCTACCTACTTCATTCCTAAACAATTCACAAACTGCTCACCAGTCTATTTTCCCCTACAGGCAGCTGATGCTAGGAGATAGCAACAGCATGTATCTTGCCAAATACAAAATAAAACGGTGTTTTCCTCTTCCCTCCTTCAGCTTTTATCTAGTAACCTCAAGACTGAGCATAGCCACTGAAATAGGAGATACCCAGGTTCAAATCTCTTGTTTGCGTAATGTGGTTTGAATCTAAATTGCCAGGGAGTGATACCTAACCACTGCTCTATGCACTGACACACATCTATCCTGAACAGCCAATTATCTATCTATTAGCCCAGGAGAGTAAAAATTACTCTAGAGCACTGTAGTAAGGAAATCTGCAAAGGAAAATGAAGACTTGGATTCCACTCCCTGTTCCAATTAGTTTCCTACCTATCTATCTCCTCCATTTAAGTATAGCTAGTCCATATTTGCTGTTCAATATTCCTAATATATAATCTTTTCTTCCTTTTCTCAGTGTTCTGCATTTTGTGAAAAATGGAGGGAGAAAAACATGTTAAATACTCGATTCCCCACTTCAGCAAGTTGAAACCACACAGGATAGGCAGGTGAGTTGTGAATTCTGCTAGGGTACCTTAAGTTTTACATTGCAACACTGAACCAGAAGCCTTTTTGTGAATCTAGCAATCTGTATATTTGCACAAGATTCAATCTTGCCCATATGGGAAAGTTTCATACTTGGTCAGAAGTCATCACAGTGGGATCACCAGGAAAGGAGACAAGCATTTTCAAAGGATATCAAATGTAAAATTAAGCAAGCTAATAAAAAAATTATTTGCTACAAAGATAACTAGTCTGAAAAACCTCATTCACTGTCAATGCTATTTTCTTAGCATATTTTGCTTTGTGGCAATTTAATATTCTCAAGTACTCATTTTTACCTCGTCAGATGAATTTTCTGCCCCAAACACAGAAGAATCAAATAAATTAAAGCCAGGTGACTTCTGGGAGAAGTTCATGAGAGAAAAGAAACTGGGAGATTTTGATGTCCCTTCTTCACAACCTAAATTGTGAATGCTGTAAAGCCAGAAAGGAAGAAACAACATTAATAGTTTTTAAAAGTTTTGTCATTTTTTTAGATTCCCATAGCTTCCATCAACAATTACTTCTTGCAACACAGAACAGGTAACACAACTCTTTAAAGCAAAGTGAGGTGGTGGTCCTACCAATGACCTACCTTTTTACAAAAAACAAACAAACAAACAAACAAACAAAACCCCCCTGTTTAAAGATAGAAATTTGTGTAACAAATATTACTAAAAGAAAATACAATTTTAGCAAAGGGGCTACAAAGACCCTGTGTCTCTCATATTTCTAAGCAGAGACCCCTCATTCAAAATACCTTCAAGTGGAAATGATACTTGTAAGAAGAAAATCTAATAAATTACCTAGCGTAACTCAGAAAAAAAAATTAATATTTCAAGTAGAGCTTTCTAGAGAAGTGTTTCTACAGTACCTTTCAAAAACAGCAGAAATGCTTATACAATTAACATCAATAGAACTTTGCTCAAAATCAAAATAAAAGTTGAAATCATACAAGTCAAATGGCGGTGTTTTAGAGAACTGGCTTTTCTTCCCCTTTGAGTCAGGTGTTGCTACAAACTCAGGTGCTTCATGTGCTCTTAGAAAATGTTCTGCACTTTCTTCTGCTGTGCCAGGATTATCTTCATTTGACTTAAAACATGTTTGTATGTCCTATTAAAAAGAGATATACAATAATGTTTATGGCATATAACATTTCCAAAAATATTGTTAGTCCATTTACCTATAAATATATTCATTACATGTTTTAGGGTTAGTTAGTTATTTTCATTGTCATGAAAAATGAAATTTTTTTAATAAAATGCTCACAGTGACATATTCACCATACTTAAAACTGTAATCTTAATTTATCTAATTTACAATGGACATCTTGTGAATGAAACTCTATATGAAAACTTTCATTCAAAAAATAAACTTGTGAACTGACTGAAAACACTGATTTTGAATAAAAGAACTATTTCACTCTAAAGTATGTCTTAGCATAATGCTTAAAGTCACACTGGAATCCTCTTGGTACTCCCTAGTGAAATAGTGCAAAATCACCATCAGAATATATTTCAGTTGACTGAGGTACTTCCTCTTGCTCAGAAAATGTTAAATGAGAATGTACACTTGGATTCTGTGGAGCAGTTTCCACCAGACACAATATTGGTTTACAGACATTCTTCTGCACCAGCTGCCTGCAGGCATCAGCCTGTGGTGAGCCAACCAGAAGATGAGGAGAGTCTCAAACTTGATATTGTGTACTGGTTTTGGCTGAGAGTTCGTAGCTTGTATGGAGCTACGTTTTGGATTTGTGATGAAAACAGTGTGATAACACAGACATATTTTAGGTACTGCTGAGCAGTGCTTACATACAGTCAAGGCCTTTTCTGCTTCTCACACCACCTTATCAGTGAGCAGACTGGAGGCGCACAAAAAGTTGGGAGGGGACACAGCCAGGACAGCTGACCCCAACTGACCAAATGGATATTCCGTACCACATGATGGCATGCTCAGCAATAAAAGCTGCAGAAAAGAAGGAGGGAGGAGGGGATGCTTGGAGTTATGGCATCTGTCTTCCCAAGTAACCATTACATGTGATGAAGCCCTAAATTCCTGGAAATGGTCAAATGACTGCCTATAGATGGGACATAGTGAATGAATTCCTTATCTTGTTTTGCTAGTGTGCACAGCTTTTGCTATACCTATTAAATTGTCTTTATCTCAACCCATAAGTTTTTGCACTTTTACCCTTCTGATTCGCTTCCCCATCCCACTGTGGGGGGGGAGTGAGCAAGTGGCTGTGTGGTGCTTAGCTGCTGGCCGGTGTTAAACCACATCTTGATATCACCTATATGTGTAAGCTGTCCACACACCTGGCTTGAATATTATGGCATGGTGAGCTTGATCTCACATTCAGGCACAGCTAGTAAAAGCAGTACCAATGGAGCCATACAGACTGTAGCCAGCACAGAGCCTATTTACTATAGTTTCGTGGGAGAAATGAGTTTCAGATGCAAACTTTTTTTTTTTAAATGTTTCTTCAGCTCACACTAATGAAAATTATATGCACCAATTTATTCAAAAACTATGATGTGCATATGATAGTCATCCTAAATATCCTGTTGTTAAAGTAGCATAAAAACCCACAGAACACTGACATGACCAAGAGCAATGATCACTATTTTAGTAATCAGATGGCATTGATTGGCTTCTCACCTGTTGGGTGCCTTACAATGAGTCACTTTGTCAATTTCTGAGACCTCTTGCCAATAGTTTCAAATATGTTCAAGATACTATGACTACTATAAATAAAGTAATTACAACATCAGAAACACTTTGCTTACCTGAGGTATATACGAAGAATCCTTTGGCTCATCTTCTACTTCTTTATCACCACATTTGGTCTCTTGGTTTGCTATACAAAAAAGACAGCATTGCTTGTATTATAACAGCATTTTAAATGGATAAATAAAAATTACGTTGTGGGAAAGAATCCTTGAGAAAGGTTTACTAGCCTGGCATTGCTGTTAGTAAGGAAGGATTCTGACTGTAGTTTTCATAATAACCCACTTTGTGGCTATGTCCATAGTCACCTATCGTTCTGCCATTTACTTGCCGTCGTTAAAGCAACGCTTAGGCTGCTTCATATCATAGAATCACAGAACTGTTTGGGTTGGAAGGGACCTTAAAGCACATCTAGTTCCAACCCCCCTGCCAGGGGCAGGGACACCCTGCACTAGACCACGTTGCCCAAAGACTCATCCAACCTGGCCTTGAACACTTCGGGGGATGGGGCATCCACAACCTCTCCGGGCAACCTCTTCCAGTGCCTCACCACCCTTACAGTAAAGAATTTCTTCCTAATGTCTAATCTAAATCTCCCCTCCTTCAGCTTAAAGCCATTCCCCCTTGTCCTATCACTCCACGCCCTTGTAAACAGTCCCTCTCTAGCTTTCTTGTAGGCTCCTTCAGGTACTGGAAGGCTGCTATAACGTCTCCCTAGAGCCTTCTCTTCCCCAGGCTGAACAATCCCAACTCTCTCAGCCTGTCTTCACTCTCTCAGCTGTCTTCCAAGCCCTTGGATTATCTTTGTGGCCTCCTCTGGACTCGCTCCAGCAGGTCCATGTCTGTCTTGTGCTGGGGACTCCAGAGCTGTACGTAATACTCCCACTGGGGTCTCACCAGTGCAGAGCAGAGGGGCAGAATCACCTCCCTTGACCTGCTGGTCACACTGCTTTTGATGCAGCCCAGGATACGGTTGGCTTTCTGGGCTGCAAGCACACGTTGCCAGCTCACGTTGCGTTTCTCATCAACCAACACCCTCAAGTCCTGCTCCGCGGGGCTACTCTCAATCCATTCTCTGCCCAGCCTGTAGTTGTGCTTGGGATTACGCTGACCCACGTGCAGGACCTTGCACTTGGCCTTGTTGAACTTCATGCAGTTCTCAAGCCTGGCAAGGTCCTGTGGATGGCATCCCTTCCCTCCAGCATGTCGATCACACCACACAGCGTGGTGACGTCGGCAAACTTGCTGAGGGTGCACTCCATCCCACTGTCCATGTCGCCAACAAAGATGTTAAACAGCACCAGTCCCAAGACCGACCCCTGAGGAACGACACTCAATCACTGTTGTCCCCTTGGACATCGAGCCATTGACTACAACTCTTTGAGTGTGACCGTCCAGCCAATTCCTTATCCACCAAGTGATCCATCCGTTAAATCCATGCCTCTCCAATTCAGAGGCAAGGATGTTGTGCAAGACAGTGTCAAATGCTTTGCCAAATCCAGGTAGATGACATCAGTTGCTCTTCCCTTATCCACCAATGCTGTAACCATATCATAGAAGGCCACACCAAATTTGTCAGGCACAATTTACCCTTAGTAAAGCCATGTTGGTTGTCACCAATCGCCTCCTTATTTTCCATGTGCCTGAGCATAGTTTCCAGGAGGATCTGCTTCATGATCTTGCAAGGACCAGAGGTGAGACTGTCCGTGGGTTTTCTTTTTTTCCCTTTTTAAAATGTTTCCCCTTTTCCAGTCAGTGGGAATTTTACCAGACTGCCACAACTTCTCAAATATGATGGATAGTGGCTTAGGAACTTCATCTGCCAGTTCCCCCAGGACCCACAGATGCATCTCATCAGGTCCCATGGACTTGTGCACCTTCAGGTTCCTCAGACGGTCTCAGACTTGATCTTTTCCTACAGTGGGCAGTTCTTCATTCTCCCAGTCCCTACCTTTGCCTTCTGTGACTTGGGCGCTGTGATTAGAGCACTTGCCAGGGAAGACTGAGGCAAAAACCTTCCCCTTATGTCGGGTAACCAGGTCTCTCGTTTCCTTCTGGAGAGGGTCCACATTTTCCCTAGTCTTCCTTTTATCACTGTCATACCTATAGAAGCTTTTCCTGTTGCCTTTGATGTCCCTGGCCAGATATAAGTCTGTCAGGGTTTTAGCTTTCCTAACCTGATCCCTGGCTGCTTGGACAATTTCTCTGTATTCCTCTCAGGCTATCTGCCCTTGCTTCGGTCTCTCGTTTCCTTCTGGAGAGGGTCCACATTTTCCCTAGTCTTCCTTTTATCACTGTCATACCTATAGAAGCTTTTCCTGTTGCCTTTGATGTCCCTGGCCAGATATAAGTCTGTCAGGGTTTTAGCTTTCCTAACCTGATCCCTGGCTGCTTGGACAATTTCTCTGTATTCCTCTCAGGCTATCTGCCCTTGCTTCCATCCTCTGTAGGCTTCCTTTTTGCATTTGAATTTGTCCAGGAGGTACGTGTTCATCCATGCAGGCCTCCTGGCATTTTTGCCTGACTTCCTCTTTGCTGGGCTGCCTCACTCCTGAGCTTGGAGGAGGTAATCCTTGAATACTAACCGGCTTTCTTGGGCCCCTCTTCCCTCCAGGGCTTTGTCTCATGGTACTCTATCAAGCGGGTCCCTGAAGAGGCCATATGGTTTGGTATGTTCTTCAAACCTAGCTATTGTTCCCTGAGAGTGTTATGTTTGTCTAATCCAGCTATTGCCCTGTGACAGCGCTAATACCAGTCAACAGAAACTGGGTGGAAACAATATAAAAAGCATATCTACATGACACTGATGAAGTGCATCTTATAGAATTTTTAAGGCACTGTGGGTTAAGATCCTGTGTTTCAAGACACATTAATTAGGATCTTATTTATTAAAAAAAAAAACCCTATAATTTTTTACATGCATCTAAATTGGCAGTATAATTTAAAAAATACATTTAAACTGAAGCTCAGTGCCTTGTGATTTCAAAAAACTATAGGTGTGTTTGTAACTACCCTGTTTTGTTCCTGTAAGCATTCTGTATGTATTTCTCAAATTAGTTTTCATTTTTAATAATGTTAATCTGATGCTTCAAGATTCGTGAATTACTGAGTTTATTTTAGCCCTTTTCTTTGCATTTTTTCATGCCTTCTGGGCAGATTTTCAGATGATTTCTTTTTACCCAAGTAATCTGAGACTGGAGCATGGATTTACAAGAGATGCTGGAAGATTGCTTTCATTAGCAATGGTCAATGCAGAATGAATCTCACATTACTAAGCAGTTCGGTCTCTCTTTAAATTAGGACTCTGCCTGTCTGCTATATTCAAAGTTTGTACTAAATCAAGGTGGAAAAGGAACACAAATGGTGACCCACTTAATATCAGAATGAAAATTTGGACCTCAGAATTTTCCCTTTTATAATTATGTGATCCAGCATACAGTAACTGCACATCCTATTAAAAAAAAAAATTACAGTGGTACTTTACCTATTACTGCATTTTCACTCTCAAACTGTTGATTAGAAGTCATCTGCTTTGGAGGAATTACCAGTCTAAAAGACAAAAATTACTGTTTGTCTGAATATTGATTATTTCCATAAACCTTAATCTCAAGAATGAAAACTACTTTATTAAAGAAAAGTTACCTGAATTCCATTTGGTTTTGTAAGCTTGCTATTGATGGAACTTGGGTAATTTGTGGATTATTAGTCCCTGCAGTATCAATAACCATCTAAAACATAGCAAAAAATTCAAATGAGGCAGCATATGAAATTATCACTTCAACAATATCATTCCGGCCTGTCTTCACCTCAGAAGGCCGAAGTGAGTGAATATGTCATCAGTGAATATGTCTCCTGTGTGGATTGAAAAACTGCAGAACACATGGAAATACTCCCACCTCACAGATTTTCATTGGATCAGAAGTCCTAACTCTTGTATGTATGTAGCATGCATTTGTTCCTTAAGAGCAGAGTGGCACTAGGAATCTATGCCTCAGCATCAGATAGCACATTATTTCACAGGGAACTACTAGTTCTGGTTTGGGTTTCACTTGCAAAATGTATCAAATTGAATGCAGTTTGGGGTGGGGGACAAAAGGGCCGGTTATGCAGATCTGTCTGCAATTCAACTCCTGTAGCATACAGCACTCCTTTTCTGAAGTATAGCAACATCCTTTCTTCCAATCTTTTTTATTTTTCCTCACACTCCATCTTCTTTTCCTTGTTGCTAGCACCCTTTCTTAAAGTTCCCTTAACCTTGACTTACTGCTTCCCACTATTCTCTAAGTGCAATACTAGGTCCCAGATTCCCATCCTCATCTCTGGATTACCCTGGCAACAGCCCTTCCATCATACTCATCATGTTCAACTCCCTCAGCCAGTCACAAATCAGAATTTCTTGAAATTTCTTCTGGTCTTGTTCCACTCAGTCTAGCCATTGCCCTTCATGTTGTCTTATCTTATGAAGGCTTCTTCTTCTACCACAGGCTCTATCCTAAACTATTTAGTGATTCACTCACTTCATCCTTCAGTTCCCATGAAATTCTCAAGAAAATCACAACCAGTTCTGTTAATTTTTTTACTTCACAATTTTTTTTATAAACCTTTGGTTTTAAATAGATCCAGTGACATGTCCCTTATAAAGAAAGGATTGGGTATAGAAACTTCCCCAAGCTTCTACACAGCAAACATATTTGCAAACTATTTATTTTATTTCCTGTGGCCTTATCTAATCCGAGTACTTCTTTTATACTTTAGCAATCAATTGGTCCCATGAATGTTCTTGCACTTAATGAGATTTCATTAATGGTTTTCATAACTGTGCAAGTTGTTCCTCCAACTTGATTCTGGATTGTTTTATTGTGTTTGTAAATTTAAGATATTAAGCTGCAATACACTTCACCTTTTCAAAAAAAGTACCATAGGAACTATGTGTTTGTGGGGTGAGAGATGGAAAAACCTAGCTGTGGACTCCTCAAGTGTACAAAGCAATGCTGCTCATGGTTTTATTCCTCTCAGCCCAGATTTTTCTTTCTGGTTAAACTTCAGAATTGAGTTGTTAAGTGTAGGAGGTCCTGTATAGGATCCTGCACATTTAGTCCTTTATGAAATCCTTCATTATGGAGTAAATGACCAACAATTAATCACTAATAGAAGATTATGTTCCTCCTTTAGAATTCAAAAAAATTTCTACATACAGCCAAGTGAATCTACAAAGGTTATTCTATATTTTAAATGCTATTATACAAAATTAATTGGATAGATGGTCCACCTCACCTTCGGCATTAGAATGCTTTCTAGGACTACCAGTTGCACTTTGTAAGAACATACGCATTTTCAGTTGAATTAGAAATGGCACCAAAGAAAGATTTTTATTATGATTACCAAGAAATAGCAGATTCCCAAGATTAGTGTCCTAGTTCCAATGCTAACAAGTTTTATGTAAGATATAATAGCACTAGGTGTATTTGAAGTATTTTAAATTTAAACAACCACATAAACCAGATTATATAATCTCATGTTTTTACCAGTGGGAGAGCTACATACCTGTGACGAATTTTCTGCAAGGCTGGAGGAACTGCTAGTGGCCACTGAAAGTTCCACAGGCTTTTCTTTTTCTTCTCTCCCTAAATTAATAAATGCTACTTAATATAGTCAATAGGATTAAGTATCCAAAGCAAGACGTTGTTAAACTGAACTTGGGAATAAAGCTTATGAATTTTCCTGTTAATAGAGAACTAAAAGAAAATTATGAATTTTCACATCACAAAATATGAAAGTATTGATCAATTTACTGCAAGTAATACTCAGTTAATATTTACTGTATTTATGCAAACAGTGATAAAGGCATGTTTCAGATTTGTCTGACACTATGCATCAGGTGTACTTGTCATGTTACTTTACTCACTGCATAGATAAGAGAGGAATTGGACACAGAAAATTTTCAGAACATAAAGACAGGTAAGTACCCAACTTCCATTGAAAGCCTGGCTCCAACTATCACAGCAGGAGCAGTTCACTATCATGTTTTCCATTCATTTACACAAAAATAATCCAAAAACCTCACACTACACCTGTTTCTATTCGTTGCATTGAGAATCTAATACTCTGTACAGACTGGACTAATTTCCGAGGAATGCATGGGACATGCAATGGTTTATACAGCTGATGTTTCTCATTTAGCAAAGATGGATGTTCGCTTTCTTCAAATATCCTAAAAAAAAAAAAAAAAAAAAAAAAAAAAAAAGTTAACAATTGCAAAAGAAAGGAAATCATAAAATACAACTGCTTCAAATAAGGGGAGTTTTCAAGGGAGATGCATGCTGCCAGGGATGTTTCTACCTCTACCTACTTATCAAGTACCTCCAGCACTTGATAAAAATTGAAGTTTTCTTTAAATACTATCAGACAGAGAATATCGCTGAAAGTAGAAAACTTAAAGTAGTAATAGGCCAATCATAAGAACATTGCTGACTTACCTTTTGTCAGTATCAAAGAAAAGTATTAGTAGTTTGGGGTTTTGCACTTTGATAAAAGTACTTCATTCTTGTAGTTTTGAAAACACATTTTCACGTTTAAAAACACTTCTCTCTCTGAGATTGTCTGGAATACTCACAGTATACACACACAAAAGAGTAAACTGCAGCAAGTGTTTTCACTTGTGGGGTAATTATCTGTGTAGGGTAAATAGCCTTTTACAGTGTAGAAAGACAAAGGTTAGCAGAACAATGCAGGGTAAAGTGGCCATTTGGCACAGGAACATTTACCATTTTTTAAAATAATGAGTTCTATTTTATTTTCTCTCAGCATTCCTGAAAAAACGCCTCTGTGCTTCTGGCTAAAACATCTGGTTTATAGCTGACTAAAAAATGCTATTCAGAACGAATGAAGAACTGAGTCAGTCTTTTGGTTCTTCTTGAAATTTTCCTTAAATAAATATAAGATGTAGGATGTGCTTTATAAGGTAGTGTGGAGTAAAATTAGCAACACTACTAAAAAAATACCAAACTAGAAGCACTGGCTAAGATATATGAACCTAACAACACATTAAACTAATATACATGCACAACTACAATCACATAAAACCATGAATGCACCTCAGTCGAATACTAGAGGAAAAGGACTATTTTGTCCTATAAAGTTACATACACACCTAGTGCTGTGCTGGACTGAGACCTAACAAACTATATAAACCATCTATCCCCTAATTCATCAATATAAAACCCCAAATAACCCAGGAATAATAAAATATTTAAAAAATCATAATCTGTATTTCTTCCAGTTACAGTAATTATTGATATTACCTGTGTCAAGAATGAGTACTACAGGAAATTAGATATGTATATGGCTGGTTTATCTTTAAATTCAGATGCCAAGAGCGTAAACCCAAGGAGAAATAAAACCAGAGCTAAGCAGAGATCCCTGGCTAAAACTGGGTCACTTTGTTCAAAATGGCTTATTTGGCCATTTTACCACAATCATCATTCAAAAATTAATTGAACAAGGCTGCTGCTGAGGTCATGGGTTAGACTGCCATAAATCACTTTTTTTACAGAACTTGGGATGCCAAATGATGTTTTTAGAAGTTCCTGGAGTCAGTTTCCCTGTAGAGCCTAGCAGACAACTCTACATTTCTAAAAATTCACTCTCCATGAAATAAAGCATTCTTTTACAATGCATATCTATTCAGAAGGATGTATTGATGGCAGAGTTACAAACAGGACTCAGAACCTCTTAAGATATGTACTTTTCAAGTAACAAAACCTTCCAAAAGAGCCTGCAGTTAAACTTGATGCATATGCAATACACCTGCTTCCTTCCCTCCCCAAAAACATGATTGAAAAAAACCCATGTGTATCTTCTCTGACATAATTAATAACCATTGAAAGAAAAATCAAAGTGCATACTGAAGCTCAAAATAGTGCAAATTGCAGTAACAACAACAAAGATCATTTGTCTTCTTTCTCTACTTCATTGTTAGTAGACATCTGAGTAGATAAAAAAATTTTTATCTTGATCCATACTGCAAAATAGATAACATTTTTTTCCTAAAGTGCAGAGAAAAAAATAGATATTCTGAAGTCAAAATAAAGTCCCATTTCCTTAGCAGTAGTTTCTTCTTTGTAGCATAATGAAGCTCAAAGATTAATAAGAGTTTATCTTCACTATAGGAATCAAGTGTATTTGATTATACATACGAAGAATCACACTTGCTAGTCTGGTATTTACCAGTAGACTCTCTACTGATGCCATGTTCAGTATTCTAATCAGGCACATGCCAGCAAGTCCTTTTGGAAGCAGGACTTTTAATAACTTGCTGCCATAATAGTTGGTAACTAATAATTGCCTATGAGGTTGTGGTCAGCATAAGGTTGACTCTTCATATATGTTTACATTTAGAAGTCCACTTTCATTAGTATTTTTCCAAGAATTATATTACAAAGTTTTTTCTTTGGTCAGTAAAAGATAATCACTTGTAATGCAAAGATAATGAAAGAATTGCAATAATCTGCCATGGAATATCCTTTACAAGAAGCTTTAGCAAAAATCTCTCACTTGGAATGTAAGATATTTTAGGTATTCAGAGGTGGAATTAATACAAAATCAAACTGGAAAAAAATACAATTGCAGAATAATGGAATTAAAGTGCTCTCAAACATTTTACAAAAGCAGAAAGGATGAACATGATATACGCCAAAGCACAGTTCAAGATGTCAGCCTTTCTATGTAATAAATATAATCTCTAATTGAGAAATCAAGACCAGGGCTTCAAAAGAGTTGAGTCCTATTTGGTGACTGATGAGAACTCTTGATTTGGAAATTTTAACTATGACACTTGTCTACGTAACTGGTGAACTATGAAAGCCCACTAATCAGAGAAAACAGCTCTATGAGAAGAGGAATATGTGTTTTGCAGTCAGTCTAATCAATGACTATCTGGCCAGCAGTGATTCAAACTAAAACATTCCAAGTCTTTTAAAAGAATGGTTACCACTGCCATCCTCCTGCCCGAAGGAGAACATATATATCAGCACCTATTCATTAACTTGCAAGTTGGGTTCTTGACTTGTAGTCCTCTAAAGCATTTCATGGGTATTAATTTGTACATTGTTCTGCTCAGCGCTTTCACTGCTCTGTTCAGTTCTTTCCCTTGATGCTGCTGGTTTCTCTTCACGCTGGTCTGCATCATTTCATGGAGATTCACAGTACAATGCTTTTTTCTTCTTCTTCTTTTGTGGCAGAAGGTGAAAACATCTTTTTTTTCTTCACAAAGCTTTCTTTGCTTGGTAGTAACCTTGCAGTGACTGCAGAACAGCTCACAAGAGATCAGTGCCTTTGGTACCCATATTCTGCTGTTATATTTTTGTACATTGCCTTGAGTCTGCAAGGGTTTCAATTCATGTGACTCATTATCTTAGCACATTTTCTGTTCATGTGTTTTCCACAGTGATTATAATCACAGATTCATAATACACCTATTTTTACATCAGTAGTTACTTAATGTGATATTTCTAAGCTTTCCAGTGAAGACTTTTTTTTAATACACTAATGCCAAACAGGCATTTTTAAAAACAATTTTTATGCCATTTTCTACAAGTGTTTATGTTATGGCTATCTTTGACAAAAATAAGCTTTAAAATTTACTCTAGGAAAAACATATTAATTAATAAACAGGTTATGGTCTGATACCATATGCTATATCACATAAATGCATACATGGAGGTTAAAAGGCAATGTGAGTTAGGATAGTGTAAAACATTTACAACATCTTATAATCATGATGCAAGCCATGGAATTATTCCTTCAGTAAGAGCATCAAAAAAGATCTACTTGTATGCAATCACAACACAATTTCAGGTGAAGGTACAAGCACCTGAAGACTCCATGACAGGGAGGTAAACATACAACTGGCAGGTCTAGCAATGCACCCTATGAATTCTTTCCATAAGGAGCCTGATTGAGTTTTTCTTACGTCTCCATGCACAGAGCATAGATCTCTGCCTTTTATAATAGGTCTTTAATGGCATTTTGCATTCTGCAGACTGAATATACAAGTCTTTCTTTGAAAATTCAAAGGGAATGCTTCCAATTTTTTTTTAACTTAGTCTTAAACTAAAGTGGATTTCTTGCTTCCCTACATTTCTGAGGTCTTGCCAATTACAAAAGGTTATATAAGAAGGTAGAACAGGTGTAAGGGCTTAAACCACAAAAAAATAATCATCTGAATAGTTCATAGGTCTGTAAAAAGATATTAAAGACCTAAAATGCCCCCGTAGAAAGGATCTTAGGGATGATTAAAATGACACATTTCTATAGATATAGTCCACTAAATCCCTATTTAAAGGCCTAAAAAGCTTCTTTTTCAAGCACACCACAATGTAAAATCACTTGAACAAAATCTTTCGGACATATTTTCAGTTTAAAATGGATTTTGATCTAAAGGCATCAGCTCTAAGGGTGATGTTTCAACATTCACAAGGACTCCTGATAAGTGCAAGATAGTCCTGACAGTGATTTTCAGTCATTGTAATTGAGCTCAAATTAAAGTGAGTCCCAGCTGTAAATGACCACTGACTAATTTACTAAGCCATTAATCCTGTCTATGAAACTTTCACTCATGCTTGTTTTTAAGAACTAAATTAAAATTTAAATTTCTTAAGTAGTTCAGAGCTGAAGACAGATGATATGTGGAACCCTGACTCTTTTTCTCAAAATAGGTGTTTAGTAGAAATAATGCATTTTATCTCTGACTGCACAGTCACTGTAGTTATAGTCAAAACTCGTAAAACTACTCACATAGATCTATCAGCAGTAGTGGTGAGGAGCAAAGGTTTCTACAAAATACTTTTTAATAGTATGTTTCTGGATACATTTAGCTTCCGAGAATCAAAATTTGCCACCATCTTAACCCCAAGAAAAATAAAACTTTTAAAATTACATAATTAAATGACATAACCAGGGTTAGAGAATCTTGCCAGTCATTATTTAGCAACAATTTGTGTTTTGTGGCAGTCTTTGTGTAAATGTTGCGATAGTACTCTGAATAAAAGCAAGGCAAAGAAATCAGTTTTAAGTGTACCTTTCTTTAAACTCCCTTGGCTTCTCTAGACTTTTCTGATTTTTTCCTTCAATCATTTCAGATTTATTTTGATCTTCTGTAGTGTCTTCAAACGTCTTAAAAGATAAAGAACAAATAACATAAAAACCAAAAATACTTGAAAAATTATGGTTACGTGCTGCAAATGTTTCCTAAACCTGATGAATGAGTGCACAGTAGTGGAGTTTTTTTGTAACCAAGACAATCTGAAGAAATAAGCAGAACAAGGTTAAAGGAAGACAATATTTTTTTGTTGAACCAACTGTAACAACTGGAATAAACACAGAAGGTTTTGAGCACAGACTCTACATATCTATTCAGAACAAGGAGCTCCTTACATGGTCTCCTTAATAAATTCGCCACATCCCTTCTTACTGCATGTTTATACAGCACATACCACATTAGGAATTTGTGTCTGTAACTATGAGTGTCAAACAGTATCACAAAATATAAATAGAAAACATCACCTTCTATCAGCATAAGGCTGGCTGAAGTGGACACGGCTGACACAGCAATAGAGTCCTCGATCATCTGGTCCAGAGAGGTAAAAGTGTCCAGCTGCAACAGTATACAAACTTACTAAACTCTTTACGAGATTGGTCTACTGGGCTATTCAGGCTTAGGAGAGACCTTTTACCTCCCAGCAGATGAGTGGGTCAAAATGCTGTGCTGACCAAGTCCTTTTTTTGGAAGACTATCCCTTTGGAATCAGTGCTTCTTAGAGTCAGTGGAACTGTACTGATCTCCTGTCTAAAATCAGTCAGTTTTACCTCTGACTATTATTTATGCACACATTTATTTAGAGGAAGAAAAAAAAAAAAAGAATTTACGTGATTTTTATTGTAAAGCATATTTAGTTAAACACATTAATATTAACCCTAAAAAAACAGTAGGACCTGTGAAGACTGTATACTCAAGCCCTGGGGCTCACTAAGGAATGGCCCTGCTATATTTTGAAGTGTGTTCTCTGCCACTCTAGAGCTAGCACAAAAGTCACCACGACACAGTGCCTTGATGGAAAATACAGTGTAAACTGAGGTCAACAGAAAGCAAGCTTTAAGAGCCTTTACATTCATGGACTCGTCTAAAAAAACATATGTGATGATATAGAAACATAAATTACTAATACTGGAATTATCATGTTGGTCCATGTGCTTGAAAATACACTACTTTTCTTACGTTTCCAAAAATACAAAGGTGGTATATATAACTACAT